CTCCAGTAACGGCAGTCGCACATGTAGGAGCAACCGGGCCAAAAGAGGAGCGCGCTCGTCCTGCCGGGCTCTCACCCAGCGCATGAGGGCCTCCAACACGCTCTCCTCACGCTTCACATCCAAGTCGTCCCTCTGCAGGACGCTCTCCAGAGACTCAGCCGGCAGCTCCAGGAAGTCCTGCTGCTCGATCACCTGGGAGAACTGAGACACGATGTAGTCCTGAGCCGTGGTCTTCAGGGACGGCAGGGCGTGGCTCTCGGCGAGATTCAGGATTCCAACGCAGCTCTCGAGTTGCAGAGACCGGCTCAGAAAGGAAGCACACGCGTCCACCACACGCATGAACTACAGGACACAGGGTGAGAATGTGAAACAATAATATTACTGTGAAGCTGGAGACTGAGGCAGCACTCTTCTGTGTTTTAAATAGTATCATTGATAATCAGATGAAACTAGCTTGATTAGCTGTAGCTTAAACAGAAGTAAGCAGTGAAGGGGACCAGACAACTTGAAAAGTCTGTTTTTAAAACAAACAAGAAGCAATTTTACTGTCACAATAAAATCAATGTGGAGATGTGAAACGATGTATTCACAGGAGCTGAGATGTTTTAACTTGAGCAAACACATCTGAAGACACTGCGTCCTGAAATCCCATCAGTACTGAGATGATGATGATGATGATGATGATTATTAGAGTCGTCTGTTAGACCCCAGAGCTACAATTCACTTATCAGACTCTTTTATCCAAAGCGACGTACATCAGAGAGTAAGAACAACACAAGCAAGGATCTAGAAAAAAGGGAACAATGTGAGTAAGAGCAAACGATCAGCTTTGAGTCTGATTGGACACACAGGTGCTGACAGGAAGTGACCACAGGTGCTGACAGGAAGTGACCAGAGGCAAAGCACAACATTGAGGGCAGTTCTTGAGAGCTCTAATCAGTATAGAAACCATCTTATAAGTCGTCGTTATCAAACAAAAACCATCGTCATTACCATCATCATCGTCAATAATATGGAGACCATCATCATTAAGTTAGTAGGTATTCATGAAAGAGCTGGGTCTTTAGCTTTTTCTTAAAGGTGCAGAGGGACTCTGCAGATCACATGGAGAACTGAAACCCAACAGAAAAAGTACAAGATGAACATTTGACTTTTCTTTTACGTTGGCATTCTGTATTTGATTAATTATTGAAGCATCATTCCATTAGTTTAAAGGGGCACTACTGTTTGTAGATTTGGTAGTGACATTTGGAAGTTGGAGAAGTGAAACATCGCTATGATATATTTTCTGTGAATTAAATACACAAACTTTATTCAAATGTAAAAATGGGTCCCTGAAAACTGTTTGGAGCTAAAAAGCGACCAGGAGAAAAACGGTTTCACTGTCGCGGCCCCCCCACTATAACTTCTCATGAAGCATTTCATCTTCAAACAGAGTTACAGGAACCAAATGTTCCTCTGAGGACAGTTTGAACATGTACCACAGAAGAATTTATCAACATTCACATTTCTCTACCAGAACGTAGAAAGTTTGTAAATCTCTTTACATCATCTGTATACTGAGCATAAAGCTAGCCTCATGCATATCCTGAAACCCAACCATAAATGGTAATCTGCTCGTAGATCTAACCTCAATCCTAAACTGTGTAGCAGTTGAAGAAGTGCAACCAATCACAGAGCTTGATTTTTTTTTTTTTTTCAAATCTAAACCTTAAACTGTTTGTCACAGAAATAGAAGTTTAACAACACAAACACCTGCCTCAGCCGCTGTTTGACACAGCTGTGTAGTTAATTTAAGCCATATGGAAAACTGATCCTGAGTGTAAACAACCGGACGACTTTCACTTCCCTTTTTAGAGAGACCCGTCTCGTACACGCTGACATGTTTGTTCCACTGGACGGGGAAATGTTAGATTTTTAATAAAGTTTAACATGACGGTTCGAAGTGTCGACAAAAATAATCACTCGTATTTTTTGTTGATCTCTTTGAATTCACGACATGTAGATTTAAATAAATCTGTGTTTTTCATTCTTAATGATTCTGATTCTGCAACAGAGTGGCTCTGAACATGTCTTTGATGCACCAGTTGTGTGATCTGATGTGTAATAATTCACAATGTTATGAATAATAAAAATATCATGATTGTCTCATAAATTACAGGAAATGCAAACTTGCTGTTCAGCGAGAATGTATGACTCAAAATCGGAATGTCTGTCTTTTACACTCACTGATGAATCACATGATCACAATTTAAAAAAAATAATCTTAAAAACTCAGCTACTAGGACATCATGGTTTTATGATACTTTAGTCTTTGAACCTGTGTAGCAACAAACTTAAATCAGATATTTTCATAGTTAAGTGAACCCTATACAGAACCGTTTTCCTACATTTAGAAAATAAAAGATAAACTTTATTGATCCTATTGATTATACTAGGTATAATTTTTTATATGAATATTTTCATTGTTGTTTCTAATGTGCTCAAGATTTAGAAGGAACTCTTTTTTGTACCGTCACAGGATATCACCAAGTGAACTCATCTATTTTCAGTTTGACTGAAGTCATTTTTACCTGGAACTGACTGGCAGCTTCTAGTATTTTCTGCACATTGGCGTGTGTCAGGAGGGCTCTGCTGGTGTAGGTGTACTCCAGAAGAGAGCGCATGGTCCCACTGTCCACTCCTTTTATATCCACACTCTCCTCATGGCTTTCCCTCAGGCCGCTGCAAAACATCGCCCTATACACACACAAAAAAGTATTAAATCAACAACAGAAATAAGAAAGAAATTTAAAAAAGGAAGTACTTTGAAAAGCCGTTTCACCTGAAGTACTGACTGGCTGCAGCGAGTATGGCTCGGTGGCAGGGGAAGTCGTGTCCCTGAACACACAGCACAACATCAGTGAGTTCTCTGTTCACTCTGAGGGTCTCCATGCCTCTCTGCAGCTCCACAGGGAGACCGCCATCCTCCCAGCTCAACTCGCTCGAGGCCGTCTGGTCGTCTTTCTCCTCCTCCGGCCTGGAGTCGTTTCCAAGAAGAGGCAGGGGACAGTCTGTGGTCCTCTCCAGTGACTCACTCATCTCTTTACAACCAGAAACTCTTCAGATATACTCGCTCTCTTTTCAGAAGAACAGCGTGCCGAGTTACTTTTGGTGCCACCTGCACCAGAACGAGGCTCCCTGTGGTTTACGCTCAGTTCTGTCGCTGTGAGATGTGGATCTGTGTTTTCTTTTTCCTGTGCTCTTCATACTTCCTATTCCTGTGCAGAGAGGAACATACGTATGAAGCAACATTGGTTTCTAGGCACTTCCTCTTCTTTTGCGGCGTTCATTTCTCCTGAGTTTATATTTTTTCCCTCTTAAGCAGAACCATTTGTCTCTGGCACATGCTCTCCTACAAAAAAGAATAACACTCAGCATCTTATCAAAAACTGAATTTAGTTGTGAGTCCTTAAATCTGCAATCCGATTGAAAACCATTCTTGCTTAATAGTCTTCGATCACTTTCTTATTCAGACATGTAAGTGTGAATAAGTGATCATAATCTTGAGATAGTGACTGGCAGGTCGTCAGTTTGTCCCTGAACCTGCAGGACAATTCGTACTGATGTGACCTCTTGACCCCCTCGTGCCTCCTGTCTCAGATTGTTTCATTAAAAACTTAAAACTACGACAGTATGGGGAAAAAACAAACTACAGCAGCTTTTTGCATCTTTTTTTTGGGCACATTTTCAATAAAACGCAATGCAACGTACATACAGTAAATAAATATGAATGAAGTTGATTATTTGTTCTGTAGTAAGAATATTATGTTCCTATATTTATTATCTATAAGACAGTTGCATAACTACTCAATTGTTGTAACATTTTCACCTACACTTTAATAAATACAATTGTATCCATTGTTTTATTTTACACAATTACAATCTCCTGTACTTTAATATACAGTAGATCATTATTGCATGATTTAAAATGATTACGTCATGTATTACGTTGAATATTCACGCAGACATAGCTGGGTTGTTAGTACAAAAAGTTCACGATTTTTTTTGCAGCCAGATTTGCAATGATGGATTTCCTTGTTAGATTTCTATATTAAAGTGTAAAGTGTTAAATAGACTATGTTTTTGTTATTCATGCTAATTGGGATGACTCTTTTTTTACCTCTGAGTCACTGCTGCTGTAATGTTAAGTGTCCTCGGGGACAAATAAAGTCTTATCTTATCCCATCTTATCTTCCCTCCATCATCCCTTTCAAAATAAAAACACAACACAACATGAGACAAAAATAGATATAAAGAATCAAAGCAACGATTTGACCTCCCTCTGTCCTGACAAACACCACAGATATTTTCAAGCTGTTGCGAACTGATTCATCTTAGCAGTGGAGTAGGAACTGAAACATGAATAGGCCAATGAAAATCACATCCATGGTGAACATGCATGCTTTTATTTTCTCCACTAAGAGGCGCTGTTGCCTCATTGCTGTGCAGAGAAATTCTGACGTGAGTCCAAACTCTCGAAGTTGTTGAAAGAGTGCGTCATGTGACCACAGCAGACAACATCACTGTATGTCACTTCATTATTTCAGATAGACCTCAGAGGTTTCTGTCTCCTTACTTTTTACTCATTACTTCTCCAAAAATGTATTTTTTGAGTTTATTCTTCAAAATAATTGTGTATCATATTTTTGCTGACAAACCAAATTATATTATGAATGAGGACAATATGATTGTATTTTTATTATTTTTATTATTATTATTATTTTTACAACGTAGAGCCTCTAAATCTAAACCCAATCACATCGATGATAGATCTGTATGGAACTTTTGTTACTTGTCTTTTTTTATGTGAATTTGGTTAATGTGCATATATGTAAATGACAGTATAGCCTAAGTGTTGAGTTGTGATCATAAGTTTGCATTCATGCAGGAAATATGTCAGACTTCCTCTTGATGAAACTACAGGAAGCAGAAACCACTTGTTTTTTATATTCTGTCTGGCACATAAAGGCTGCCTCAGAGCTTTATGGTCTGCTCTGCTGTGAACACTGTCACATCTGAAGCAGGTTCAGGATGAGGAGGCCCCTGCAGTCCCTTTTGAGGGCCAATATATTCTTCTATCTTGGACTTTTCCTGCACTGTGGTGAGTGGTACATTGAATTACTGCAGATGGAGTGCATTGAGAAAGTGAATGACTCTGCAACAATGACTCTGTACTCATGTTGCTCAATTCAGGCTATATTTTGGTTTAAAGAGAGTTAATGGGTGAAACCAACCACCTTTGTGTTGCTCAAGGATTTGATGATCTTGTTTTTTCTATGTCAGTCTATTCAATCACAAGGAAGTGTATAAAAAGGACTTGATTTTTCAAGTTTTATTAGATAAATCAAAATACTATCTTCTGTTTCAAGAACTTTAAAAAAAAAGTATAACATGTCAGATTTTTTGCAGAGCCTTTAAATGATTAAATGTGATTTAAAATGGATTGTTCACATATGTTATTATTCCCCTCTTTTACGATTTAATAGTGGAAGGCAAACTCATGGCAAATCACTTTTCATGAAACTGAAAAAACAACATAATTGCTTCTTTTCGTTTGGGAGTAAATCAACAGTTCTACTTTAACAGACTTTTTCACTTATTCACATGCACAGTCAGAATCCTCATGGATGCTGAAAATTAAATGAATGCACTGTGAAAAGTGTCTTTTGCTCTCATTGTTGCCATTCATTCAGAGGTCAAACAGAGGTTTGCTTTACAACCTGAAATATTGAAACACATTTTAGTCCCTGGAGTGTAGAATCTTTATTCATTTGAATGGAAACCTAAAGTTGCCATTTTAATTTGACTGTGTTTTACTTGTTTTTTTTGTTCACTCAGGAGAAGCCAGAGTGAACACAGAAGCACCGATTGGACCTCTGTATCGTGTGGTCGGCTCAAAGCTCTCCATCTCCTGCAATGTTAGCGGCTTCAAGAACGCCGACACCAAGAAACACTTTGAATTCCGCGTTAATAAGCCCGGGAAACCAATGTCGGAGAACATCGTAAGCTCCAGCAATCCAGGCTTCAGCTATTCCTCGTATAAGCGTCGTCTCGAGGAAAGGCTAATCACTCTGACACATGTGTCTCCAAACTCCGTCCTGTTTGAGATACTCAGCCTGCAGAAGAGTGATGAAGGGGATTATGAGTGCTCTGTGCTCAATGCAGAAGCGAGTTATGATGGAGCCTACAGCGCGTCGACATCAGTGAAAGGTACCCAGTCTCCATTTTCATTTTCATTTTTCATCTTCATTTTTTTAATTTGTTCCATACATTTCAAAACACACAACAGAAAAAGCGATTCAAACTTTATCCCATGTACAGAAAGAAGCAGGGAGAAGAATAAATCTTGTTTTGCCTGCCTCCTTACTCAAAAAGCAAAACAATAAATGTCTGGTCTGTCCAAATTACAATCAATGAATGAATACCAACATAAAACAAATCTGACAATTCAGTCTTCACTTCCTCAGAGATAAGAAAGAAAACACACAAAACACACTAACTGCAAATTTCATACAGTCTGATAACTTTGTTCTTATACATTTTCTTATACTGAAATATCTGAACACAACCCTTCAAATCATTATTTAAAGAATTCCACAATTTAATTCCAATGACAGAAATACATTTCTGTAGTAAAGTCTTTATCTGTGATTTTTCACACTGAAATGTAGAAATCAAGTCTCTCCTCTGAAAATAACTCTGTGAGTCATGACTGTCTACAATGGGTGTAACACCCGAGTCCCACTGTCTGTGATGTTTTCACAGTTTTCAGAGTCCTATCTTCACTTTGTTTACATCGCCCGGACGGCCGGCTGACTCCTCCCCTCGTGTATAAAAGTTGTTTAATTGAGGGACTAGAGAAAAGAAGAATAACATACTGTACTCACTGCTTAACTGTGTTTCTAGATCACGCTCATTTCAGGTCAATTTACATGCAGTGTGAAGATACCAGCAGAATAAAGATCGCTAGCATTAGCATGCTAACACAACAATGCAGCGCGAGTTGTTTTGGTTTCATGCTGGTGCTCAAGGGTGACATCTGCTGGATCAAAAGATCACATATAAAGACTTTAAAGTTGTCCTTGCAAACTGATGCTTAAAATTAAATGTTCTTCTTTGCTCTTCATCTTCTGAGCTAAAAACATTTTGACATGAAAGACAACCTATTTAATGTTACTGCAAATATGTACGACTTTCATCTCTGTTTTCTTCTGTTTCTGCTGTGGCTCCGTAGTGATTGACAACTCCCTGAGTGTTTCATCACCTGCCTCCACCTCACAGAGTTTTAATGAGGGTGAAGCTTTCACTTCGACGTGCCAAGCCTCCAGCAACACGGTCCAGCACACCCACCTGTCTCTCACCTGGTTCCTGCTCAGAGACGGTGACGACAACGCTCGTCCGATCATTTCTGTGGACAGATATTTCACACTCAGCCCCGGCCAGGGCTTCGAGGGGCGTCACCAAGCTGGACTCATAAGGTTAGATAAGATAGGAGGGGTCATGTACCGGCTCAGCATGGGTCAGCTCCAGCTGTCAGACAGCGGGAGGGTCTTCTGCCGGGCCCAGGAGTGGATCCAGGATCCTGACCGCTCCTGGTACTCCATCACACAGAAGGACGCAGAGGAGACCGTCTTACATGTGGAAGCAAGAGGTTAGAAGCAGCAACACTTTAAATGTTGATGTTTGACACCTTTCATCTTTGGCTTCTTCACAGGATATGTCTCTGTCGCTCTGCTGTTTATTTTCAGAGGTGGTTCCAGACACGTCGCCTCTGTTGGTGAGAATCTCTCTGCAGCCCACAGCGCTGCAGGTCGGCCAGACGCTGTCGATAAACTGCAATGTAAACAAACAGAGCTCAGAGGAAAGCTTCTTCTCTGTGGCCTGGTCCAGAGGGGGTGTCGAGCTGGCTCGCGTCGGCCCGACGGGCATTCTCTCCGTGGGGCACGAGTACAGCGTGCGAGAGGAGGAGCTCAGAGTGGCCCGCATCAGCGACAGAGATTTCCGTCTCAGACTGCAGCCGGTCAGAATCGAGGACCAGGGAGAGTACATCTGCAGAGCGTGGCCTCAGAAAAGAGGACAAGATGGTGCTTTAACACAAGGAGCTGCTCAGGACTCCGATCCACAGAGGATCACTATCTCAGCCACAGGTCAGTCAGAGAGGGAACCCTTCAAATAACCCCCCCCACTACACTCTGCCAATGAAAGGCCTCTGATCCAACCTTCACAACAGGGTCCTAAGTCTCTGACTAGACTCTTCTCCTCTGTCGCCCCCCGGTGGTGGAATGAACTTCCAAACTCCATGTGATCTGCAGAGTCCCTCTGCACCTTTAAGAAAAGCTAAAGACCCAGCTCTTTCATGAATACCTACTAACTTAATGATGATGGTCTCCATATTATTGATGATGATGATGGTAATGACGATGGTTTTTGTTTGATAACGACGACTTATAAGATGGTTTCTATACTGATTAGAGCTCTCAAGAACTGCCCTCAATGTTGTGCTTTGCCTCTGGTCACTTCCTGTCAGCACCTGTGTGTCCAATCAGACTCAAGCTGATCGTTTGCTCTTACTCACATTGTTCCCTTTTTTCTAGATCCTTGCTTGTGTTGTTCTTACTCTCTGATGTACGTCACTTTGGATAAAAGAGTCTGCTCAGTGAATTGTAGAATTATTATGCTCATGCCTTCTGTCTGTGTCCTCGTGTTTTTACAGAAAGTGGGCTCTCACTGGAAATGCAGAATGACACGAGTGTTAACGAAGGCGATGGACTGAAGCTCACCTGCAGAGTACACGGCTACAAAGGACAGCTCTCAATCACCTGGCAACACAAACCAACAGCCACGTCAAGTGTTGCATTCACCACCGTCATCAGCCTGAGTCAGGAGGGCGTAGTGATAGAGAAGCCGGAAAGTCAGAAAATGAAGGCGACGCGTCCAGCAGCCGACACCTTCACCTTAGAGCTGGATGAAGTCAAACCATCGGACTCAGGTGTTTATCAGTGTGCCGTGTCCGAGTGGGAAAACAATCGCAAGACCAACAGCCGCTCACAGACCGCCATGGTGACCGTGGTTCCTGCTGGTAAGAATCAGAATCAGAATCAGAATCAGAATCAGAATCAGAATCTGGGTTTATTGCCAAGTACATTTACACATACAAGGAATTTGACTTGGTGTATTGGTGCTAAACAATTAACAAGAAATAAAGCAGAACTAAAACAACTTAAATAATACAGAATAAGAAGATATTACAAATATAAAATAGAATTAAAAATTTTAAATACAAAATATAAAAAATAAAATCTGTCTTTGTAGGATGAATGATGTAACAGGCCTGCTGGCACAACAAGTTCCTCTCACCTCGTATGAGAATCTGAAACAAAGGGATGGGATGCAGATGTTGGCCAGTCTGCCAGTTGTTTGTGACCATCTGTTCATGAATCCATCAAACAGTTAAAACCACTGTGAGGAGTTTAGATCTGCTTATAAAACAGACTGTAGCTGTCGATTCTACATTACCATCAAAAGCAAATGAGACAATCAGGAAGAACATTTCTTTCTTTTTTCTTTCTGACAACTGGTCGGTTTCCAATGAAGTGATGTACTGCTCAACAGAAGTGCCTTAACCCCTTATTGCACCTCTAACCAAGTTTCACCTTCATTACGTCCATTGCCATAGACCAGTGCTTCCTAAAGTGTGGGCCGCGGCCCCCTGGTGGGCCATGTGGGTACTGCAGGTGGGCCGCGAAAAGCCCTCCACCAAGTATAAAAATAACAGAAATATAACAATAATGATGATTTACCATGAGTCAACCCTTTGAGTGATTAGTAAGGCGTGTCATGACTATTCATGGACATAATGTTCAGTAAACTTTTGTGTCTATCTTGTCATAATATCATGTTGTCATGTCCAATAATTTACCCTAACTGAAAGTGAGAGCTGTAGTCAAAACTTTTATTTTATATTGGGCCCCGGAGTCATTTTGTATATCAAAGTGGGCTGCAGCAGTTTTAAGTTTGGGAAAGGCTGCCATAGACTGTATATAGATGGACGTACTCTCAGTGATGTCACCTTTTGGTTTTTTGGAGCGTTCTTTTGAAGCCTGTCGATGGCGCTCCACATGTTTGAAATCTTGTCTCACACTAACTTTCAGTCAACCTAGTAACAGGCAAAGAGCTGTGATTAACCATATCCAACCATGAACATCACCTTATTACCAAAAACTCTTATCGTCATAGCAACAACTCAACCCCGCAGGTTGGGGCTTGACTCATACATTGCATTAGCATCAGCGTATTATTGGATGACCCAGTGTGTCACATCACATCGCTGTGCAGCGTTACTGATGTAATGAAGGCACAATGTTCAAACAAGCAGCGAGAGCTTCACATACACAAGATTAATAACGTTCCTCCTTTTACACAACCCAAAAATTTACTTCATCAAATGCTGGCCGCTAAAGTTAGCATGCGTTCTACCAGAAAACACTGTTTGGACAACCGCTCTGATCCCTCAGCGGTGCCAACGACACGTTCATCTGCATGCAAGAAAATCTCAAAGTGTTAATGCACTCTGATAAATACTGAGTGCATTAATGCTCCAGAGAGGAGGAACCTTTTTACATCAGATCTGCCTCGTGTGCTACCTCGGGTAACAATCTTTAGTCGACACTCAACACTTTAAAAAACCAAAAGGCAGATTGCCATGACATTTAAAGCGTGCTTCAAAGACGAGAAGAGTTTTTGATTTTATTCAGGAAAAACTTTGAGCCCGACTCGTAAAGCTGTAAGAATTCTTCATGATCTTCTTTGCTCTGTTGAACACTTTTGTGTTGTTGGGTTTTATGAATACTGCAGTGTTCACTCCCAGGGTGAAAGGCTTAAAGTTTTGTTAACATGCGTTGGTTAAACTGGCACAAAGACTCTTTGAGTGTCTCTGTGCTCAGTGGCGGTTCTAGACCACTTTTACTGAGGGGGCCAAACTGGGGCCAGTTGTTTTGTCAGAGGGGAACATTAAACCATGGTGAAAAATTGACAAAAATGATCACTTTAATAAATATATATATAATATGCCAAACAGTAGATTGTGAGTCAAATACTGTGTATGTGTTATTGGGGGGGGGGCTCTTCCTTTTGGAGGGGTGGCCACAAGGGGGACCAAGCTCAGTGTTACAGGGGCACTGGCCCCTGTTGGCCCTTGCCTAGAACCGCCCGTGTCTGTGCTTATATTCGAATGTTATGATAACGTCAGCACTATCTGACTCTGTCCTCCTGTTCATGTGTAAGTTTTGTTTTCTGACAAAAAACGCTCATCCTGTTTTCACTCGTCATATCTTTCACTCACTGTGAATCTTTGAAGGTGAAAACAAACAAAGACGCTTTTTCCTCAGTGTGCCGTTCATCTCCTCGTCTTGAGACCTACCCCGCAGCGACGTTTAAAGAAAGAATCTTCTTCCTAATGGTCTGGTTTGCTGTTTGTGGCTCTTAAAGGCTTTATATGTGATTTTTTGATCCAGCAGATGTCGCCCTTGAGCACCAGCATGAAACCAAAACAACTTGCGCTGCATTGTTGTGTTAGCATGCTAATGCTAGCGATCTTTATTATGCTGGTATCTTCACACTGCATGTAAATTTACCTGAAATGAGCGTGATCTAGAAACACAGTTAAGCAGTGAGTACAGTATGTTATTCTTCTTTTCTCTAGTCCCTCAATTAAACAACTTTTATACACGAGGGGAGGAGTCAGCCGGCCGTCCTGGCGATGTAAACAAAGTGAAGATAGGACTCTGAAATCTCTGAAAACATCACAGACAGTGGGACTCGGGTGTTACACCCATTGTAGACAGTCATGACTCACAGAGTTATACATAGAAAGACTTTAAGTAAACAACAGTGTTCATTTCAGTCTGTTTTTATAAACACTTAAAAATCTGTGAGTGAAACAGAGAAGTGCAAGAAAACGTCAGTAATTATTTTCCACTTTGATGTTTCTCTTTTCACAAACTTCTCCTTTTTTTCGTTTTCTGTCTCAGGCTCGTTTGTGAAAGTGAACCTCATAAGTCGCGACAACTCGGTGACCATAGGAGAAAATGTGATTCTGATGTGCCGGATCCGAGGCGTACGTTTCCCCATGACGGTGACTTGGAGCCTGCAGCGCGACGCCTCCATCATAGACAACATCCTGACGGTGTACGCGGACGGAGCCATCAGCTGGTCCGCAGACCAGCACCGCTACCAGCTGAACGTGGAGAAGACGGGGAACGGCTTCACTCACAAACTCCTCATCAGGGGGGCGAGCCACAGGGAGGTGGGACGGTACGAGTGCAGCGTGTCGTACAACGCCCACAAGATTGCGTCCAACCAGCTGGCTGTGCAGGTGCAGAACCCAGGTACTGCTGAGTTGGTTCTTCACATTACATATGACCCGGGGAGGCTGTGGATCAGTGGGCCCCCAGCTGGGCAACATGCCCACTGCCCAACAGACCTGTAGTATTGCTTAATATGTAAATTATGTAACCTGAAACTTGTTTTTGTGGGCCCCCAGCTGGGCAACATACTACATGATAATAATAATAATAATAATTTTATTTATAGAGCACTTTTCAAAAACGTTACAAAGTACTTTACAAGGACAGCAAATATAAAAACAGGCAGGTTATAGAATTATAAAGAATAATTCATTTTAAAGGAATTCTAAAAGGTGAACGTAGGAACAATTTAAAATCAACAAGAATCAGGAAAGCGATCTCTACCATCAGTGTGTGAATGTGTCGGTGTGACCTGCAGTGTAAAAAACGCTTTGAGTAGTCAGAAGACTAGAAAAGCGTTATAAAAGGTGGTGTCAAAGAGTCAAAGCTCAAATATTTCAGTGTTACTCATAGAAACTGCCTTAATGACTGACTTTTGGTTAGAAAAGTACAAAACAAAAATCTTTTCCTGATCTTTAATTGACAGAGATAAAATGGTATTTTATGCGGCTGTCATGAAACGTGGATTCTTTTGTCTAAACATTTGTCATATTTTTTTTTCTTATAAGCTCAACTCCATTTACCCCATGACTAACTTGACTCCTCCTCCTTCTAGTGAGCAGCCTCGCTCTGACCTCATCACCGGCCTTAACGACTTCCATCGACCAGGACATCGAAATCCGATGCTCGGTGACCTCTGAACCCTCTGCGTCGACTCGTTACTTCGTCACCTGGCAGCACAAACAAAAGGCAGAGAGTAAGATCATCCTGAGCTCAGACCAGGACGCTAAAGTCGAGTTTGGACTCCAGGTAGACCCGAGCCAGAGGCAGAGGATCAGCGCCAAGCGTTCAAAAGGCCCAAGTTTTGAATTAAGTATTCGGCAGACTCAGATCTCAGACGGCGGCGTGTACCTGTGCAAGGTGGCCGAGTGGCTACAAGATCCTCTTGGTGATTGGTACCAGCTCCCATCGGTGTCAAGACCCACAAATCTAACAGTGATGGAGCCAGGTACATTACTTTATGTCTTTATGTCGTTATTGAAAATCAAGGCAAGAATATTTCTCAAACCTGATAAACAGCAACATCACAACCCCAGACATCTTTTGAGGACAATAGATTCTCTGTTACACCCCACAACCAATAACAGCTCAGTGCTCTCAGGATCTAAATGTGAGGTGTTTGCTGGCTACTTCAAAAATAGATCAGCTGAGAGCTGCAACAAAAATGTTGTCAGAATATTCAGTGCACATAAAGTGTAACATGTTTTTACACAAAGCGGTTTGATATCACTTCACATTACTCCAGTTTTGTAAATACAGGGCCGAGCTGTAAAGAGATAACACATGACCCTGTTTAACATGTCATCATTTGTAGCAGCTGGAGGTGACAGTTTATAGGATGTTGTTTGACAAAGTATAAATGTTGCAAACATTTCTTACAAATTCAAAGAGGAAGTTGATCATATACGCAGAGTCATGTGCTGACACATCTTATCAGGCTGATGCTTCTCAGCCACATATTGCAAAATGACCACTTCTCCTTTCGTGCTGTCGTATGTTCTGCTCTCACATCTGTTGCACTTATGATGTTGTATGTTGTTTGGTGGGGGTTGTTGTTGCTGCTGTATAAATCCAATGATGAAATCGTGAAACAGAGTGTGGATTATAACACGGTTTAATCAGCCGAGGTCAGACAGTTACAACAGAACACAATTTGTTAACAATCATGAACCGACAAAGTTTCTATGTTCACAGACTTGCTTATATTCTGCTAGAAGGTTCATCCTACAAATTCTTGGCTACTTTGGTACATCTCTATGAGGCAAGAAAGAAGACCTCAGCTTGACTCGTAAATGTCAGACATATACATTTCATTCTTTGCAAACCTTCGCTTACAACAGACAGTTAGCTCCAAACCAAATATAACTCTGCTGCTCTGAGATGTTCTACATAGATATGGTTACAGCTTCAACCTAAGAGAAGAGTTACTCTTAGATGATAGGCAGATTTAAAAGGTTCATTCACAAAGTTACCAAAATGTATGAATTCATGAAAATCTGTGCTAACATTTGTCATACCTTTTCTAAGCATATGACTGAGCACTTTACAAAGACTGCTGATATCCCTTCTGTCTGTTTACTTAAGGGTTTAATGTACAGTCCCATTGGTTTGTTGCTTTGTCAAAATAAAGTTGAATATGTGTTTTGTTTTCACAGAACACAAACTGTCAGTTCTTAAGGAAGACTTGGAGTTAAATATGAGTGTATCTCAGGACTTCACCATCCCCTGTCATATCACCAAACAGTCCAGTGATCAGTCCGGCTTCCAGGTCACATGGTTTCTGCAGAAGGAGACGGAGATGAAACCACGCCCCGTATTCACGTCTTACCGGAACTCCACCCTACAAGACAGGTTAGGGAATGGAAAACAGCTGATTTACAGCCACCCTCTACCCAACCAGTTCAGCCTCACAGTGATGAAGTCAGAGGCTGAAGATAGCGGGCGGTACTTCTGTGAGGTAGAGGAGTGGCTGCCATCGCTGTCTCAGAGGTGGAGGAAGGTCGCGACGAACAAATCAGGGATTTTGACTGTTAACGTCTATCCAGAAGGTAAGAACATCCTCAAGTTGTTCCTCTCTGCAAGTGTATGTTATGAAGATATCTTTTTTTTAACAATATGTTTATTGAGTTTTAAACATTTTTCCAAGACACACAATTACAATTAAATACATTCTATGAAAAAAAAAATATATATATATATGTGTGTATATATATATATATATATATATACACATGCACATATATTCACATTTATAAATTAAGGAGGACAAAATTCAAATATAATAAAAAATAAAAATAATAAAAAAACTTCAATGAGAAAACATTGCAACATTATTACTGTCCGTATTAAATAAAAATAACCAAAGGGAGTACATTGCCATAGATGATTTGATAATCACAAATATTCTGCCCGAGAACAGTTTCTGCAAAAACGACGACGAGTACAGACATCGCCAACTCTTATGACAGATATGAAGATATCTTTTTTAAATAACATACATAATGGGTCTTCTTTTGCAGGAGATGTTAAAGCCTTCTCCGAGCCCGCGTCTCATCTGGGGGCCTGCATAGGGATTCTTGTGGCTGTTGTTATCTGCTCTCTGTTGGTCATATTGCTGCTGGTGGTGAAGATCTGCAGGAGCAAAGTGTCAGGAGAGAAGAAGACGGGCCATTCTCTGTGGGCGGAGCAACATCCTCTCAACACCAAACCCAGTGCAGACGACTAAAGAGACCAGAAGAGAAGAGGAAGTCATAGGCCAACTTTTTATTCACCCTGTAATATATAACATGATGATTTTTTAAAGTATTTCCAATGTAAATATTTTTATTCCTTTTCATTTAAAGTCCAATCAGACGGGTTTAAATTGCTCTCTTGATAATAATCCATAAAAAAATGTTTGAATGTTTTAGCTCTCAGTGCAGCTGGGGAATCATTGAGCCTTTATGAATTAAAGAAATTCATTAAGCCGTTGAAATTAAACCAGCACTTTTTTATTTCTCTGCTAAAAACTCCTTTGCATAATCACCAGCTTCTCACTGCCAGAGGTGGACAGTTGAGCGCGGCGGCAGATCAAATGTGTGTCTTTACAGTGCACCTCCAGTCGAAGCAGCACGCTCTGACAGACAGATTGTAACAACATGCCAGACAGTGTGTCTGTGATGTGGTAAGATTTGAAACTTCTCTCTGCGAGGGACCGTGAGAAGAATCAACCAGGAAGTGCTCTGTGGGTTCTGCAAGAGAACAGGATGATTGTGTTTGTCTGCAGGTCTGCAAAACAAGTGTTTGAGTCACAGCACTGTTAAAGTTAAAAATACTGTTAAAAAACTAAATATTCACATGATACTTGTTTTGTTTGAAGTTTTCCAATGTTGTTGATGATGACTTTACATTTACATGTGATTTTGTAAAAGTGTGTGTGTGAATCTGTGCTTACTGAACGTGTGTTTGTGCATGTACAATCAACATAGGACAGTTTTCAGTGCATTGGCTGAACCCCAAATACATCTGGTTTAAACCTAAACAATAGTGTTGTAGTTAAAGTCTGAATATGTGATTTTTCACCCTTAAATATATAAATCCAGTTTATCCTCTGAAAATAACTCTGTGAGTCATGACTGTCTACAATGGGTGTAACACCCGAGTCCCACTGTCTGTGATGTTTTCACAGTTTTCAGAGTCCTATCTTCACTTTGTTTACATCGCCAGGACGGCCGGCTGACTCCTCCCCTCGTGTATAAAAGTAGTTTAATTGAGGGACTAGAGAAAAGAAGAATAACATACTGTACTCACTGCTTAACTGTGTTTCTAGATCACGCTCATTTCAGGTAAATTTACATGCAGTGTGAAGATACCAGCATAATAAAGATCGCTAGCATTAGCATGCTAACACAACAATGCAGCGCCAGTTGTTTTGGTTTCATGCTGGTGCTCAAGGGCGACATCTGCTGGATCAAAACATCACATATAAAGCCTTTAAGAGACCTCACTGACTGAGACCAGGACATACCCGAATCCAGAGTGCTCCGAGACCGAGACAAACCAAAAACATTTAGGGATCAAGACCAAGACCATAAATATCACTGAGAAATCATCATGTTGTGTTCAGGGGGCGTTTCACTCACTTAGACCGTAACACTGTGGGAAGGTTGTGTCCATAACTGAGGGATAAAAATAGTAAATGTGAAGTGTATTTGATGTGTAACTTGTTTGGGGTCTTTAAGGGTTTCTACTTGAAATGGTTAAAAAACTGAAGGAACCTTTTTTATACACAGTCCTTGATCGTAGGCCGATGAAGCAGTTAAAGGAATCAGAGCCAAAATCTGGACTAGAAGAAAGGTCTTCATTGACTTAATCATAACTTCAAGTCAACTGAGAATTTGTTTTAATGCTTCATTTCTTTTTTGACTGAAGGTGTCTCCTCCGCACTACGCTCCTTCTTTCACTCCGTATGCCTCGTGTGGATGTGAGGGAGATCTTTGAATCTCATCTCTTTCCTTGAATGTTACATGTTTTGAGAAAAGCTTTTCATTGTTTAGTAATTTTACAAACTCTGTGTTCTTGGGAATTACATTATAAACTATGAGACGACAATATTTTCTCTTTTTTTGTGTGTTGACATCCAGAGAAGCTGAACAAGTTAGAACCACCATTCTTTTAGTATAATGTCAAAGGGGGAGGAGAACTTGGGCATGACTAAAAAGGTTTTGATTAGAAATCCCCGAATTTAGCCAAGTGTTTATTTAAATGCTAAAGACCCCTCTCTCAACGTAACCCTACCCATGATGCACTCTGTTTCCACAATACACTGTATGATTGACGAAGAACAGCCTGTGAGATTCTGAATCTCTGTCATAATGCAGTGGTTGTTGTTTTTTGAACAGATGTTAGTACTCAACACATTTAGATGTTGGAGAGCAATCAAATCAAACTGTAAAGAGGAAGAGGAGTGTAGAGCCTCTCACTCGTTCTCTCACTTTCTCTGCATCAGCCCCATCAATGTTTAACACCCCATCTGTGTCAGAGACGAGAATAGCATCCATTTCTTCCCCGTCACTTTTAAGGAAATGCGCCCAGACACCAGATCCTCTACACTAAAAAAATCATCTGATAAGTGCACACCTGTTATGTTCAACTTAGGGTACAAAATAAAACTGCTTTTTAAAGATGTCAGGGATTAATACACAGAGGAAGTACTAAAGCAGACTGTAGGGAGATGATGTAGAGCTATGCCAGCCCTTCACAGTCTGGTGGACCGGCTCCCTCTTAACTTTACTGTAATTCCACTTCCCTTGTGTTTCCATGGCGATGCCTGTCAGGGCAAACAAAGAAACATTGAATTTGGGAGGCAAATCAATGCCTGTGTCAAATCAGTGTAGCAAGGACTAAGTGTGACAGTGAGATACCACGACTCCCTCGTCATGCTTTGTGCTTTTATATAAAGTGTGAACATCAGCATATTAAACAGCATATCATCAGCTCTTGTTTTGACATTGGATACAGTGCATTAAGCATGAAGTGGAATTTATGAGACTTCATCTATAATCCTCTGCTCTCCAAATATCAAGAACTCACAGCTCTACGAGGCGTTTTAGTGCCCGGTTTGACCTGCTGAGTTCTCTCTACTGCAATGATCTCAATCCACATCAGACTCTTCACCATGCAGCTTGATGCTCTGTCAGCATGAACCATCAATCTGTTATATTCATATAAAACCATGTTGCCTTTGTTCCATCACATTTTGAGCCTGCAAATGCTCGAGCTACAGGAGAATATCACACGTGCACAAACATATTCACACTGACAAATCATTTGTACCAAATGCAATAAAAATTTAAATTCATATAGGAAAAAACGACCCCCCCCCCAACTCTAACTGCACATTGTTTTATGAAATGACTGTTTTTAAACCTATAACTTTATGAAATGTCCTAAAACTCTTTAAATTCACGCACCATGCTGACTGTGATGTTGTTGAGGATTACGGACGCTCTCCTGGTTTCCTGCTCTGCTTGATTGTTGTCTTGTTTGTCATAATGTTTTCTCTGTCTTGTTCTTTTGAAGCCAAAGACAATTTTCCACTTTGACGACATATAAAGTTCTATTCTATTCTATTCTATACAACCACTGCTCTGAAAGGCAAACCACTCAGACAGTTATACTTTAGTGTGTTCTGATTGGACAAAAGGCACTCCCTGAGCACTGACATAGAGCACACTGAGACTATTATCCTTTATTCATCACTGAATACAGTAAGCACACAGTATTATAGTTCACTGGTTGCATGTAACTTTAAACCCGACACATGAATGCACATAATGAAGTAAAGCAGGTAACATGGAAACATATCAAGAGTGCAGGAGGACCACTTCTGAACAATTACATAAACAACAACAAAAATCAAATGTTGATTTGTTTCTGTTTAATAATTTATGTTTTATACTGCTTTTAGAAGTGTTTTATTAAAGAGATATTACACTTTAGGTTAAACTGAATATCAATATGGCAGTGATTAATTTTTTTTCACACTTGGCAGTCTCTTGCTGACGAATCACAGCCGTGCTGATAATCAGAACAGTAAAATGACCTTGAGTTTGATATTGCTGAATCATATGACAACACAATACAAATTATTTTATAGAGTTGTAGAGATCACAAGCTGCTGGTGATACTCGGTTAATCATCTGAAATGGACAAAAACTAGTTTTTTTTATGGCTTCTAACTAAACTTACTTCCAGGCTAAGCCACAGCTGAGCAGATTTAAAACATGCTATCAAAAAATAAATTGTCGTCTGTGTAAAAGGTCTACTGTGGCCGACCACACATCCTGTCATGCTATCTGAAGCAGGTGCACTAAGTACACCTGTTTGTTGTTTGTGGTGGGTACCAAATTGTGCCATGTCAGAGATATTTTTCTATCTCACGCAAACAAAAGACAAAAGTGAATACACGTGATAGTTCCTCCTGAAAAAGCAGATGAAGTGTCCTGGCAGAGCAACACGAGGGGAGAAAGACACTCAAACT